TTTTCTAAATCTGTATTTTGCGCATCGAAAAAGCAAATGTGATCGCAGTTTTAGCAGAAATTGCTTTCAATAAACAGCAGGCCGATAGTTTTTTTTTTTGTCGCTTCAGAACCGTCTCTGCCTTGGAGAAATCTAATCTAATACTGCCTAGCCTGAGTCTCCTTTTCAAAAGGTGCATCACGTTTTCCAACAATTATCGGGAGGTGCAGTATATTGTGTACTTCAATATGATACGTGTGAAAGAATGAAAGAGTTTCTACTTACATAGATAATTGCAGCACCTGAGCCAAGTATGTCCTTCCCGAAGACGCCCAACTGGAAAACACAATAACACATTAAGAAGATCAGTTAAAGATAATTTAAAACAAGTTTTCTTATAAGCTAACACCAAGACATATAAAACAGAAAATATTTCAATAAGATGCGTGTAAGGAAATAAATAAAATATTTATACTTTAATACTCCAATTTCTTTAGTGCGAACCTTTAGTGCGAATGTCTCTTGCCCGTAGATACTAAGCTGAAAACACACAAAAAAGCAGAATTTAAAATTGAAAGACCATTTAAACTGAGAAAGTATTCTTTGCAAGTGAAATGTTTATCACGAATATAAGCACATAATCACCTACCATACTCTGGATTATAATGAAAGAACTACAATTCTGAATTGGCTATTTTCGGACTTGGATAATTGCACACGCTTAATTTTGTGAACAGAGGTGTTTGATAAAGATTAGGATAAAGTAACTCACAAAAAAAAGCCAATTCAAATGTCTTTACGGCTACAACAGAGCTTTTCTTCGGTGTAAAAGAAATATGTTATCTGTGTAAAACAAGTGGCTTCTTAAAAACAAGAGAATCGGGGGAGAAGACATTAAAAATACAATTTAGCCCCTATCGAGAATACTTGTTTTACCCCTTTCTCCTGTGAGGTGTAGACTACATAACTACATTAGTTAAATTTTATTTACATTCAAATACAAACGAAAAATTAAAAATAACCACAGAAAACGCGGAACAA